TCAATGCGTTATTGATTAAAAGGAACTTATTTATTGTTTCATTTAAAATTGCAGTAAACAATTTTCCAAACAGCTTAATATTGTTATTGGTCTATAATTTTCCACTGCGAGTGGGGACCCTTTCTTTTTAAAAATTGGGGTTATATTTCCTATTAACCAGCTGTCAGGTAGAATACCGGAATCAAGTATTTTGTTAAAATAGTCGCAGTAAATTGGTGTCATTATATGTTCAGTACTCTTTAAATATTCGTTATATATATAGTCTTGTGGTGATGCAGCTTTTGAGTTATTACATTTCCGAATCGCTTTACTTATTTCTGCACAAGAGATTTTACCATTAAGGATATCATTGTTTTCTTGTGAATTTATGTCAAAGTCAAAATTAAAGTTGTCATCATATTCCGTATCGACATTAGTATTTTTATAATATTCGTAGAAATTCTGGATGTCTGGCATTTTATTTTGTTTAGATTCAGTATTAAAACTATTCAAAATTTTCCAGAAATCCTTAGGCCGGTTTGAATGCATATGACGGAGTTTTCGTTCGTTTTTCGATCTGTGTTTTTGTATAAATGTATTCATCGTTTGTTTATAAACTTTACTCGCCCTATTTAGTTCGCGCCTATATAGGTCAGACTTATGCAAATTATATCTCTTTCTCGCCGCGTGGTATCGCCGCCTATATTTAGCGCAGAGAGGCCCGAACCACGGTTTAGAATTATTTTTATTTATTGAAAAAGATGTGTCATTGTTAGGAAATGTCGATGTCGCCGAATCATGAAAAAGTTCCGCAATATGCTCCGAGACCAAATTTATTTCGTGTTTAGAGGCATTAGGTGATATATTTTTAACCATATTTTTAACATCGTTGATTTTTTCGTCACGTAAGTTTTCTACGAATTCATTTGTTAACTTATTTTGCCATTTTGGTGGTTTCGATGTCGCCATTCGGTTGGGGAAAATTAAAAGAACAATTGACAATAACTGAAAGGAGGGAATGGCCGTCAGAAAACAGGGGATCAGTGTTTATTATTTCAAAATTTGCAAAAAATTTAAAACAGTTAATTGTTGACACTACGTAGTCTATGGTAGAAGTATCTCTAAAAGTAAATTCACCAACTCTATAATCATTGCCTATACGCCCATTTAAAATAAAAATGTTACTGCATTTGCATAACTCTAAGAATTTAAACCCTAAAGCATTTGTTTTTTTATCTTTAGATGTCCTATTCAATGGGATATCATTATTGGTTAGAATCTCTGTAGAGCTAAATTCGCCTAAAAAGTCCTCACTAAAATCAAAATGTTTTTGAAGAAATTCATCAAAAATCACGTAATCAGGTAAATCGGCAGTGTGTGCGTTTGCATCGCCCAGGATAATACAATATTTGTTGTTACTACATGTAGTAGAAACCTCGTTTTCGAATTTGAAAAATTCGTCATCATTGTAAAAACGCGACTGTTGGGGAGGGATATATATAGCACCGATAAACAAATCTTCGTCTACATCAGTAAACAGAGATTTATAAATTTTAAGCCAAAAAATATATTCGCATTCAGACTTCTTAATTTCGATATAGTCAGTAACTGAGTTTTTAACTAAGAAACCAATACCTCCCGATTTTCGAATATATACCTCATTCCGTGGCTTAGAATAAAATGTGTATCCAGGTATTTGAATAACATCATAAAAGTCAACTTTAGTCTCACAAATACAAAATATATCATAATTATGTACCAATTCTATGAAATCGGGGTAATTACATTTACTTTTAAGTCCACAGACGTTAAGACTTCCGATCTTTAAATTTGTTTTATCTGACGAAACGCCAAAGGAAAAATTCTGGTTTTTTTAAGGTTTTCAATACATGCACAATTTTTGTCTAACTTATTGGAAATTTTTGTAGTACTTGTATCGCAACTAGTAATAGTTTCGTTACCTTGTTGTTGAATATAATGACCACATATTATTGTTTTAGAAGAACATGGCTTATTTAAACACAAATCACATAAAAAGACGTCCCTGATATATGTATAGTCATCGTTTGTTTGAGAAGTATTCATGTTTATGTCCGTTCTAGTTCCGGAAAACAAATCAGATCTGAGCACTGTCCCCGTCACATGCTATCCATCCGAATCAGAGTCATGCGTCGAGTTCGCGACCAAGGGGATATCCTCTATGCCATCATCTGCCTGTTGCGGTTTTGGACTAACGACCTGGGTGTTACGATGTTTGTCTAGTAATGGACCCTTCCCACGTATTGCCGAAGTTTTACCACTTGATGCATTTGCACGAGTAACTGGTGTTCCATTGTTTATACGTGGTGGGCGATAGTTACTACGTGGTGATCGTTTCGGGCTGCGTTCACGATTCGTGTGCTTACGGCCAGCAGTCCGGTCGATATATACCTCTTCGTCTGAAGAACCATTCAGTGTATTTTCTTGAGACATGTTAGTTTGGTGCGTGTGTCCTTTGTCTATTTCGCTGGGGTGGGGACTTTCCATTGAGTTAGATTGGTGTTGCATGTATGCTTCTCGCATGGTTGCATTATTTTTCTTTAGTGTGTGAGTGTAAACGGTAGATAATCCTGTCTGACATGCAAGAAAAACAAAGAAGGTCCGAAGCGTGCATTATTCTACAACAATGCACTCGCCGTTCTTATTATCTCCCTGTGTATTATCACATTGAAGGCGCCATTTTGTTTGAAAAATCTGATAAAAAAACAATTTTTTGTCGAATTTTGTTGTGAAAACTATCTAGAATGAAAGAAAATGGTCTAACTAAGAAAATGAATCCGAACACCAATATTAATTCAGTCGTTAACGCTGTACAGACGTTTAAAGTGTTGTTTACGTGACGTCACAATGCAGCGCCAAACAGCACGTGCAAAACAATCAAATCAAGTAGGCTATTTTAATGTCGCAAACAATCGAATCAAGTAGGCTATTTTAATGTCGCAAACGAGTTAAGTTTTACATTTATTTCACTTTTAATAATTTGTTTTTCGCTCGAAAAATTATAAAGTGAAATAAAATAAACAAACAAAGTTTTATCAACGTTTTCAAAATTCGTTATTCTCAAAATGTTTCTATTTAACGACAATTTTTTCAACCCACTGGAACAGCCTTTAAAGAACGTTTCTGGCGAAAACAAATTTAACCACCAAACATAAAGTCGAACTTTATAATGATAACTTTATTTTTTCTTGACGTGTTAGAATGGAAATAGATATTATTTCTTCGTGCATTATTTAACAAATAATACATGGCCTTGAGGGCAATATGCAAGTTTACGGACTGATTGGTCAGACTGAGGAAGGTATATGGCCCGAAGCGCAGCTGAGGGACATATACCTTCCGAGGTCTGACCAACCAGTCCGTAAACTTGCATTTTGCCCGAAAGGCCATGTTTTATTTGTTATATTATACCGAATCTAAATCCTTTCATCCCTTTTGTTGCTGACATTTTTACTATAATTTGCTTTCAAATAATAATTTATTTGTTCAGTGTGTGAAATATCTCAAACTCTACTCGGATTTATTATTAGTATTTTTATTTGAACTCAAACCGTGCATTATTCTACAACAATGCACTCATAATTGATATCTATTTCCTAAATCTGCCTAAAATATAAAAAGACTGCCCAACTCTTTTTATTAACTGAGCGTTATATAGGTAAATTCTAATAGATATACAGAAATTTTATTTGGATCTGTACATTATTTATTGTTTATGGAAAGTGAATTATATACCCTTTGATGTGCATAATGTCACTTTAAAATTAGTTTCTACTCTAATTATTTTATCCAGTCCATATGTGTTTGCTGTTAAGGTCACGGATTTTTTCCGGATTTCTTCTTATATGCAGTCGATACCAAGCGGTTTGGCGAATAGTTTTAGTAAGATTTAACACGTATAAATTCTAAGTTTTATCAAGCCTGTGTCAATGATAATGCACGGAGAGTAATACCATACAGAATGTATGTTCCACACAACAAAATAAATTTGTATCAACGATGCTCTTTCTATTACGTAAACCAATCTGTCAATCTTTGGACTTTGATAATCGTACTTATCCTTGTAAATTTCATTATTGTTAAATTATTTAACCCGACGTCATACAATGTAACATGTTTCACGTTTCTGATATTGGTTATTGCTCAAATAAAACAGGTATTGGAATGCTAATGTCGAACTACTCATTTCGTGTTCTGTGATGTATAATGACTTTATTACCATGTTTGTAGTGCTGGCAGACACATCTTAACGTCATTACTACATTCAAGATACATTTCAAAGATTATGTTACATATAAACAAAAGAAATTATATCATAAAACAATCAGTAATTAGACAGATGCTGATTAATGGACCGAAATTCATATCGATTTCCTAGAATTTGTAGTGTACATGAATATGCAATGAATTCCTGTCAGCAAACGTGTCTGCTTATTACAAAATATGTACATTACAAAACAACTATGATCGAAAAAAGTATTTTTAATTGAATTAAAGCAATTTATTTTACAAGTATTGTATAATCTGAATATAGAACAGTTTCTTACTGACATTTATCAGAAATAATGAAATATATCATGATTAAGTCCAGTTTTCAATCTCAATTTTGAGACAGAATGGTCTTATGAAAAATAGAAGTTTTACCTAAATAACTTATATAGTTTTTTAAGTTCTTTCTTCCATTTTTTATCATTTTAACACTGAAAGTTAATGACTATGATAATTTGACTATTACTGATAGGTAAATTATGGTGGTGATACATAGGGAACTTTCTTGTTTCTTTTATAAATTATTAATTAGAGAACTTACTCACCAAATATTAACTTAAGAGCCGAACACGGGAAATCGTTTGATACTTGTATATGCATTAGTTTTTTATTTAAATAAATTATATTCAATATATTGATATGTCGCAATAAACCATTCACGGTTTCTGTTTTATTAATATCATAATAGAACGAGAGAATTGATTGATTTTACACGGAGAACACGCGTTGTCAAATATAGAATTAATATTAAAAGTACTTGTCGTGAAACCGGAAGGATACATTTTTATTGTTTAATGGAAAGAAGACACTAAAACAGGAATAAAACATTTAAACCCATATGGAATGGTATTGGTTTTATTTTTACGATCCATGTATACACTTCATTATTTCTATTGCATATAATTTGGCGATAACTAAACATATAGACTTTGATCAATCTTATTGTTTCCATTTAACAATATTTAATTCTATTCTCAATTTGTTTGAATTGTTTTTTTTTTTGAAGTGTTTAGAATAAACCGTACCTATATATTGATCTCTGGTGTATTTTTCTTCTCTTCTAACCTACCGTTCAATGTTATGATGTTCTGGAATTTATTGGTACCAAATATGTTTGATAAAGTAAAAATAGATTTCTAATTTCTTTCTGTCACAGATGTCCATAAATGATATTGCTACTTAAATACGAGATATTTAAATAGCACCAGAAATCTGTTTGTATAACATATGGGGTTTTACATACCGATAAACTAAATACTATTGAAATATTTTCTTTTTCGTTTAAACTTGTCACCGTAAATTTTCAGCACAAATTCACTTGAATCGCGCTTAGTTTCAACAAGTAACTCATCTAACTTGCCAATAGCTGTGCGCACAATTATCTATTGTTTTAAAACCACAAACCAATATTGTAACTCCTCCACTCTGTATTTCAGTACAATCACGTGACTCTGTAGACACCATTGAAAGTTTCGCACAGTCGGTAACATCGCTCATAGTGCGCGCGACCAAGTATGGGTAAAGATAGAGATGCACGAGCTACACTTCTGTTTTGGAACAGAGCACTCAATAAGAATCGATAGGGGACCACCGACATAAAGTATTTAACTTGTCAAATTAACTAGACAAGGATTAATTTTCTCCGCTTGTACATAGCTATAATCATTGCAAAATGCGCTTACTGAGATGGATCGATCTGTGCTACCTACTGTTTATGGGAATATTTGAACTCATTCATGGTAAGTAGCCAATTTGCTAATTTTGATGACTTTAAATGTCTTGACTGGGATATTTGACAGCAATTGTTTCCGTTAGGAAAAAAAGAACAACAGGGAACTGTATGTAATAAATCATTTCGATAACAAATCAGTGAAAAACTTCCAAAAATGTGCTGAAATTGAATAATGATTTTATTTGTATATTTCATAGATAACGGTCATTCTTATCTGAATGTTTCAAATGAAAATGTTGGTGAAATTTAAAAAGATTGTATTTTATTAAAATATTTCCGAAGATTATGACCTACAGTATAGTACATCTTTACGTTTTAGATATATAATAATGATTTTCTAATCCGAATAATAAATAGATATAGCCGATTATTCCCTAGTGAAGGAGCAAAGTTCTTATTTACAGAATGTCAATTACCAAAAATATGGTAGAGAAATCAGAAATGAGAACAAATATCTTCAAGTTATGTAACCGTAATGTAGTATGTAGAATTCACCTATATTCTTGGTTATTTTGTACTGAATAAAAAAGCTTTCAATTAATCAAATATTTGTAACTGAATAGTTATACATACAATTCTATCTTTATTATCTTGGCCGTAAAGGCAAACGTGTATAACAGAATCATGAATTTACAAACAGTATCTTTCCAAAATAGGAAACACTTTGTTTCAATTAATTCTCCATGAGATGAATGAGGCATGCGCTTGCAGATGATATTCGTTATTCTTAAATTATTCCGAGAAATTTATAGTATTCTATCGTCTTTGTAATAGGTTTGCTCCTCTAAATCTCTCGTGAGATTAACAGAAATCAACAGAAAACCCGTTTATTTCTCAAAAAGCATCGACTGTATGAAATGACTTAAACATGTTTTCGTATTCAAATTTTGATTTATAAAAATCTCTGAGGATTTTTTAACTTGAAGAGTCTTGTAAACTATCTAAATTAAGATGATTTATGATTGTCAAATAATTTGGATTCAACTTTGGATGAAAAACACGAAACACATCTATTTTGATTGTAGATATTTTTTTAAAAATAATTACATTTTAAAGAAGGTTCCCTTGTTCTTTGATTATACATTTATACTGGCTGTATATGATTTGTATAATTATTATCAAACTCAAATTGAAACAAAGAAAATATTACGAAAATAAGTGCACACAGAGTTGGGTGGGTTACAGACAAGCATGGTTATCCTTAAACAGTAAAATATACATGCATAAAAAATACCCAACTAAATACTATAAACATTCTTGGACTAGAATAATGTATATTATATACATGTATAATATCATATCTGTCAACATTATCTACTGTAGAACAATGACTCAAGAATTAATCAGTTAATTTAGTGATATAAGAATGCATGAATTATTCACATTTCACCTTATAAACTAATTGGCCTTTTACACGCATATTTGATCTCTACAAATATACAATCAATGCTAATTGAACCATTGTTACTATTGAGGTTATATATCAAATAATATAGATATTACGAGAATAAAGAAGTAATATTCATAAATGTTTCAAATGAAGTTACATCGTCAGTGCAGATTCTTATGACAGACAGAAGCGAGGCTTAGTATAACCTACAAAGCTTTATCCTCTATTATGTATGCTATACTTACACAATGATTGTTTTTATTATAGTTCTGTTTGTGTATACTGTAATTGTATAACATGTGTGTAAATCTATTTGGAAAATAAATATTGTTTAAATCAAAGAAGTATTATAATACATCCGGCAATTACTTATTTAGTACTACATCTGTAAAAAGAAAAGAACAACAATAATAACAATAATTTGGCACTTTTAAAATCAAACATTCATTTCGAAGCAGTTCTAATAATGCCCCGATAAAGATCATTTTCAATGGCCGGTCAATGTGAAAAATGAATTTACGAAACAATATTTAATCATAAGATTTTTTCATCGCATATAGACGTGTTTACCATAACGTATTCACGTAAAACAGGTAAACAACAGCCACATGCTGACTTTCTTTGAAATGAAAATCTACCGTATTTGAAAAAGAAAGCATTAAAAAATGGAAAATCAACCAAGATAGAATAAAGTAATAAGAAAGTATAGAAAGAATAACTCGACTGAATAACACCCAGTAAATTCTGTCCAGACCTTCGGGAATCTTGTACTGTGAAAATATCACGTAACAAATGATTAATTTACATTAATCACGAGAGTTATTTTATAGTCAGGAAAACATTAGAAAATTTACATTTGGCATCGTCTGATAGAAAAAATAAATTCATGCAAACTATGAGACATTGTTATAAATACTTAATTACTAAAGATGTTTATCTAAATGCTTATTTTTCCTAGTATTTATTTAATATATTGTTGTTAAATAGTGTCACTGAAATTTGATGGATTCATTTTATATAGTTTATTAAGTAAATTTAATTTAAAGTGAGAATTTTTAACACCGGAACTTAATATTTTATGTTGTTTGATGGCATTCTTTTTTAAATAAATAGCAGGAAATTACTATGTACATTATGTACCTTAAATATTTAACTGTACTTTAAAAGGAACTTTAATCTCAACTTTAATAAAACTTCATTTTACTAGTTTTAATAACATGTTTATCAAAATAAATAATAATATTTTATATGTCAATACAGCATTTATTGCGACCCACTGACTTTTAGAATTAATCAAATATACATAAATAAATAAATCATAGTTGTTATGGGTACACAACTTAGATTGACTTATTCTTTCTTGATGACTCCCTAAAATGCTTGCTTTGATATATACACTATATGACCCGCGTCACGACAAAACCAACATAGTGCGTTTGCAACCAGCATGGATCCAGACCAGCCTGCGCATCCGCGCAGTCTGATCAGAATCCATGCTGTTCGCTTACCAACCCTTTTACAAGTAGAGAATATGATATCGAACAGCATGGATCCTGATCAGACTGCGCGGATGCGCAGGCTGGTCTGGATCCATGCTGGTCGCAAACGCACAATGTTGGTTTTGTCGTGACGCGGCTCATATTTAAATGGATAGATAGTCTAAGATAAAATTCTAGCGAGGAAGGCTTATAAAGTGCTAGACGAATCATTTCTTTTCATTTCAAAGGCTTGAAAAGCTTGATTCTTCAAACACGGTCATATCAAAAGTGGGGAAAATTCAGTGCCATTAATTGCATGGAAGCCATAGTTTATATTGGATAGAACTTAGTCTTATTTGTTTCTTTACTGTGCTCCATCAGTTTTGTGATGTATTCTGAGATATATAATATAAATATAAATATCTATTTTGATATCCGATATAATGACTGTTCACAGAAAGATACTTGCCTATGTATTTAGATATCTTTTAGGTTAATTTGGAACTTTTCAGTATCATCTAAAATATACAAATTATTTTAAATCAAAACTTTATAAAATGAAAAAAACAACATCAAAACATAAAAAAATACAACAATTACAAAAAGAAAAAATTGAGAGCAAAATAACTAAAAGGCACATTATGAAAAAAAGCTAATTTCTTTAATATCCAAAGCCCTTTTTAAATTTGGATTACTATTAGTTCACAAAGTTCCCAAAATGTTTCACCTTATTCATACAGCTGAGCCATCTTTTATATCATTTGCATTTTGGCAATAAGTATATTTATAATATAATATGTATGAAATTTGATATACAACTTTGTTTACATTTTGCTACCCCAGCCACAAAATTATTTCACATTCAGCGTTATTTTCTTCAGATTATAAGCATAAGCATGTTCTGAACACATTGTTACAGCATTATAAATTAAATATAAAACACATGATTGCCCTTTCTATAGAGTGGAAAACAATCATTTCAAAGGTTTACTGTGCCTATATAAAATAAATGAAAAAGAAAATATTTCACAAAAAAAAAATATATATATAAATAGAAAAAGGAAAAAAAATCATAATTGTTAGACATACCACTTTATTGAAATAAAGTACAATGAAAGTGTTTGAATATATTTCGCCTCGATTTCCTAAAGGTATTTTATTAACATAAAATGTTTATAATGTTAACAATATACGAGGATTATATGACAAATACAACGATATTTGAATGTCCGTTATATAAACACCTTAAAATCAATTATAAATTATAATTGGTAAAGTAATACGATATATGTAAAAAGTTGAAAAAAAACATGGTAATGCGACAACGTGTATGAACAGACATACTCAGTACTTAGTTTATATTAATAGTTTTAAAGTTGTGCGCAAATAATAAAAATGCAGTTTTGAATGATTGTCTTTTTATTAAGTGTACGAAAGTAAAGCTTTTTATACAAACATAATTTGCGTTCTTTATGGACCGTTGACATACCATAATTTAACGTAAATTTACCTTATGCAGTGTCGATAATGTACTCATATACGTTAGCTATAATATGTGTGGAAGTATTAAAAATAACACACATTGGACCTGCTTCTTACATAAACAAAGTGAAAATTCCTCTAGAAAAATGAAATACTTGTAACTACAAGTACACAAGAAAGAATTTTACAAAGAATGTATAAAAGAAGACTATATGAAGAAAACTATATTCCCAAACCTGATATTATTTTCCCCCTTTATCTAATTAACTAATTAGTGATCCTGCATAGCAAAAAAGTAGACAACTGAAATCGATTCTTTGTTTCGTTTATAGAAAAAAACACGACCTTGCCTTATTTTAGATCAAGTAGTTTCCAAGAAAAACGAAAAGTCAAATGTCAGAATCGTTTGTATTAAACAATAAGATTCAAACAACAACATATTACAGGAATGAATAATGTCATTGATATAGTTGTGATGCATAAGTGTTTTATGTTGCCACTAGCAATACTACACTAGGGTGTCATTACGGATCTCTGTAACATATTTCTTCTACGTTCTGTCGCCAACTTACTTTCCCCTGTAAACAAATACTTGGAGGAGATAGGAAATTTCCAGATATGGTCCAGAAATAAATATTAAATAAGATTTGATTACTT